GATTTATTTAGAGGATGGGATAAAACCATATTATAGAATTTATTTTTCATCTTTTACAAGTGTAATTTTATTTAATTTTGTATTTTATCTTATTGTTCAAAGTATTACAAATAGTAGTACATATGTCCCCGTTTTTTCCCCATTGATCTCCCCCTGGCCTCCCCTACCCCCCAGCACATGCTCTCATCCCACCCTCCCTGTGTCTTGTGTCCATTGGTTATGCTTATATGCATGCATACAAGTCCTTTGGTTGATCTCTTACCTCGTCCTGCAACAATCCCCAGTCTTCCCACTGTAATTTGACTGTCTGTTTGATGTTTCTCTGCCTGTGAATTTTTATTTTTTATTACAGTTGACATTCAATGTTATTTCACATAAGTTTAAGCTATTGAGCCTAGGTGTTAGACATTTATGTAATTTATGAAGTGACCCCCAAATAAGTTTATTACCCATCTGGCACCATATATAGTTATTTCAATATTATGGACTATATTCCCTAGGTTGTATATAACTACCAATTTATAGAATTTTCTTTTAGAATTTTTCAAATTCAGCAAGGGTGCCTCTCAATGAAAAATTTTATAATCTGTGGTTTATTTTGTTATCATTTTTACCCTTTGGTGAGAATATTTAAGTTCTATCTCTTAGTAAATTTCAACTATAAAATACACTGTTATAGACTTTAGTCCCCTGTCATAGATTAGATCCTTAGGCCTTACTCATCTTATAACTGAAAGTTTGTACCTTTTTACCAACTTCACTTATTTTCTCCACCCTCCCCCAACTTCTGGCAACCAGTTTTTAATGAATTTCATATTTTTTAATTCTACATATAAATAATACCATGCAGTATTTCACTTTCTCTGTTTAGCTTATTTCACTTAGCAAAATGCCTTCAGGTTCATCCTTATGACAAATCACAGAAATTTCTTGTTCTCATGGATGAATAATAATCCTCTGTGTGTGGAATATTTTCTTTATTCATTCATTCACTGAAGACACCTAGATTGCTTTCAAACATTAATTATGGTGAATAATGCTTCCATGGACATGGGAGTACAGATATCTCTTTGCAAATAATTGTGTTACCCTGACTGGATATCTCAGTTGGTTAGAGAATTGTCCCCATATGCCAAGGTTACTGGTTGATCCCTGGTCAGGGCATACACTAGTACATAATCTCACTCATGTTTGAAATATAATGAACAGCGTAAACTGATGAACAAAAACACATCCAGAGACAAAGAAGCATTGATCAGACTGTCAAACCTAAGAGGGAAGGTAGGGAAGGGTGGTGGTAAGGAGGAGAGATCAACCAAAGGACTTGTATCCATGCATATAAGCCTAACCAATAGACACAGTCACAAGTGGGGTGAGGGCATGAGTGGGGGGAGGGGTGAATGGGGGGGTAAGGAAACATATGTAATCCTTAATCAATAAAGAAAAAAAAAGAATCAAACAATGCTACAATGCTTTTCTGTTTTTTGTGTATTGGGTGTTGTTGTTGTTTTTTGGTAATAGTTGCACAATTCTGTCAATTTATTAAAAAATTTTAAACTTTAAAAAAATTCAATAAATTAAGTAATTAAAAATCATTAAAAAAAGACTAAAACAACAAGTTGATTTCTTTCTATTATCTATCTATCTATCTATCTATCTATCTATCTATCTATCTATCTATCTCTAATCTCTTTGCCTTCTCTATTTTGAAAATCAGTCAATAAATTTAAAACTATAAAATAATTGTGTTGTTTCTTTGGATACACTTTCAGAAATGAGATTGCTGGATCATATGGCACTCCCAATTTTAATTTACTCACTAATGAAGATAAACATTTCCTCTATTCTGGATGTAATATGAGAAAGGTGAAAAATTCTATCTGATTCACACTAGATAATTTAAATGCAATGTTTCATTTCTTCTAATGGTCATGGGTCATGTGTTTTCAAAGTCTACTATTTCTGCTTCCGCAGCTATGGTCAAGTGAAATTTTTAAAAATTACATTTGTTTTCCTCCTACATTGTTAGACTTGGGTTTTGTCATTTACAACAAATATTTATATTGAAATATAAACTATTAATTATAATTTAAATATGAATTAATAAACAATATGAGTATTAATTTAATATTTCAATTTTATACATATGGTATAGTTCAGTGTTGCTTAATGTCTTATACATCACAGACATTTATTAATATCAGGAAAATTTATATTTCTAATATACAAATAATAAAATTAAATACAACAATTTTAAAAACAAGAGAGTGTGAGAAGATACATTTGAGAATAAATATTTGTGACAGTTACTATGTGTTGAAAATGTAGTAATTCTTCAGACTATTAGTTACAAACATCATTAAGTAGCTATTGTTAATGAAATATGGTTTTAGATTTATTCCACTATAATTAAAATAGCATAATGAGTGTATAAGTAAAATGAGGTAATGCCATTATTTAGCAACCTTGTCTAAGAATAGAACTTAAACATCTGAGATACTCTTCACGAGGCCTAAGATTTGTGATTTTAAGATGAAATAAGTTAACAGCATGAATGGTCACGTCTTTTGTCCTAGAAATCTTTTAGAATATGAAAATAATTTCTCAGAGGCACTTACCAATGAATAAAGTGACGCACTACAAGCTCAAAGTCTCCTACATTCAGAAGATGTGTGATGAGATAAATCATCTTCAAAATTGCCCAAGTGTAAGAATTTCCTGTTCAAACTCTAAGTGACACAGTGATGAGAAATCTACTTTTTTATACTTTGGATTCACGCTCAGTCTTCACAGGCCAGTCAGTGGAGACCACAGACATTGTTTACAGGAGTGACCTGGCCTCCCACTAAAGGATTCATAACTTACTGGCTTCCAGAGGTATGTGAGTCTACTCTCCTGTCTCTCTCCTGGCCCAATTCATTTAATGGGAAATTACAAATTCTAGATGTGGTACTAATGAAGTACAATTCACATACATTCAAATAAAATAAAACATTGGTATTCTTATTTGTACAATTATGGGTAAAAAGAGTAAAATATGAAATATGTTGGTAGATATCTTAAAATATTCAAATTTGTGCCTGTACAAAATTACTAAAGAGCATACGTAATGTATATTTGGGCTTGAAAATCAAATAAAATCCCATTGTATTTTGTATTTTGTAATTAAAAGATATAATTATTAATGTATATTATTTCATATTTATCCCAGATTTTAGAAATAAATTCTTAAGAAGAACTGATCAAGTCATGAAGGTAAAACATAATTCCTCACACATACACTTCTATTAAATAAAATCAGTGTGATTTGCAATAAAAATCAGGATTTAGTATTCTCGGTAAAATGTTTAAACTTTTAAAAACCTTTGTTGTTGAATATTTAAACTTAATTATAAACAATCAACATACTTTTTAGAAATTGAACAACACATGCAAAAAGATGCCACACTGATAAGAGACTCCTGTCTAATGAATTACATTTTCATTGTCTGATATGAATCAGAAATAGTAACAAGACAATTGTGTTGAAATAATTAAAACAAGTAACCTACTGAGAGTTCATAAATATCAGATTTAGTGTTATCTTTACATGCATTGTATCTCAAAATATTTTATTACCACCTTAGATTAGTGAGCTAGGTTGTTAAACACTAAATAACTTTTAAAGGTAATACATAATAAATTTCAAAGCCAGAATTTATTCTAGATCTCACTGACTGCAAGCCCATTGACTGAATTATTGAATAAATTATCAGAGTTATTAAATTTGCCTACTCACTAAAGTCACCTTCACTGACTTTGATAGCCCTAGGATTTTTCAGGAAGTTTGCACCAACAATGTTCCTCCATAAATGATATACACATTTATTAATCGTTTTATGGTTTCATATCTTATCAATTAAATAAATTTTAAGTTACTTGTGTAAAATTAGTATTTTTAAGAATCCTTTTACTTTCTATTGCTTTTATTATTTGTAAGTTTTGGATACCTTTAGAGTGTCATGTAGCATTTTTCAGCATATAAAATATTTTCTTAAATTATAATGATTTCTCAGAATTCCACAATTATTTAAAATATCACATGATATTTTAAAATATCATTTGCCTTTTTAATAAGTAAATATAAGCGACTAAATAAAATTAATTTATTACAGAATAGTACTAGATATCCTAATACTATTATTCCCTCAACTTTAAAACACTCAATCTGTAACCATAGACTGTCATAAAAATTGGTGCATCACTTTTTTTCTATACAGCATTTTAATTTTCAAAGTTATTCTAATTGCATTAAAATGTTTCAGTGGAATCTGACTTTAATAATGATATCATTATTCTGATTTTCCTTATTCTTTGTTAACTTCTTACTTTTCATTGCTTCAACCAATAATATTATGTTAAACATAGAATATCATTTTAAGAACTATTATTCTATCATGAAACACATTTAAATCACTATGTAAATTAGAACAAGACTTCACATTGGTCAAATGCAAAGTGAGTACTGCTACTATCTCACACTCCACCCACAACGACCATCCTTGGGGTCTTGTCATTGTTCACATCATTTACTAATTACTTAAGTACTGTTGTCACAGGCACCATCCCTGTCATTACCCAGCCTCAGAGATGGATGTCCAACAAGAAAATGACTCAGAAATGAATCTGGCTGAGGACTTAAGGAGACAGCAAGTGAAAGGTAAGGGCATGAACAGCTCCATTGTACCATCTGAACAATAAATATTCTGTGTGGGAATAAACTTTCAAGTGCTTTCAAGACCTTCAGTGGAATTACAAGGATGACTAAAGCAAAGGTGACACATTTAATAGACACACAGTATAATTGTTCTAGGATGTGCACCTGGGATATAGAGGTGTGCAAAAGAGTAGGGAATTAGCTCACATATGTTTTCATTTGTAAGGGTCAGAGCTTAAAGCTGGATCACAGTATTCAAATATGAAATCTGAGGGCTGATTTCATTGAGGCGCTGTTGTAAGGTGTCGTCTTTGACCAACATCTCATGGAGAATCATGTTTTCAGGAAATGAAATGGTACATCTGAGAGGAAGATTCCACTGCTAGATATGGTTTCAGGATTCGACTTTATGATTCGCTGTGCACCTGGGTTCTCGTATACGTAAACTGTCTAAATAATGTCTCCATCTCTCCTTTCTCTTCCTGCAGATTCACCATCACCTCCAGAGAAGCTCTTTGCTGGGGTCCTGGGAGTTATCTGCCTTATCTTGATGTACAGTGTAGTAAGAGTGATACCTTTTATGCCTGGTAAGTTTTTGGAAGATTTTAGGGAAACATCATTTTAAAGAATCTGAATGCTTCTAATCACTTCATAATACAGTATTACAGAATAGAATTCTCATTTTAATGTATACATTTAGATAAATGTGCTATGCTGAATTTGTCAAATGCATAAAAAATAGAATGATTTGTAGAACAAATTTTACACATTTATATATTCTGATTTCATAACTTAAATATAAATTCTATAAGAATCCAAAAGACCTTACTAAGAAATGCAAATTAATTCTTGATATTGGGTAAGCCCATACTGTAAGAGATGGTAAAGTTTGTTCCCATAGGCTTTTAAAATATTTTCCTTTAAATCTGCATTACTTTATTCATTTTTCTTAGTAAATCAATATTGTTACACATAATTCTCATCATATACAATATTTTAAAAAACTTCAAGCTACAAACAAAAATTATTATGATTTATTTAGATTAATTACTTTTTAAACAATTACCTTAATTTTTTAAGGTACTGGTAAACTGGAGAAGAACAATTCATCCCTCAACGCAAACATCCTTAAAGGTACATAATAATTTTCAAAGTTCTGATATTAGCAAAGTTTATATTTTGTCTCTATCCTAAGCTAGGAAAGAAATGACAATAGACTTTTTGTGGGGGGAGAACATAAATTATGAAATGAGCAATAAATATTTACGAATAATTATAAAAAAGTATTTCTTCTTATACAACAATATGAAGGAGTGTTTACTTTAAGTCACCATACCCACTTTTGCCAATTATCTCAAAATTCCTACTGCTCTATTATGTTAAGACCAAATCTCATGCTATTCTAAAAAAAAGTGGTTTCATTCAATGACTTCCTGGATATTAGAGATTGAATACTTTTCTTTGTGTTATTTCTTTATGTGAGCACATGAATTAGGCAATAAGAGATGACTCTTCTCCCTGAGTGGGTGTATGAGTGTTTTTTATATGTATCAGCCAGTGAATGTGCATAAGTATTATGCACAGATATGTATTTACCTGTGTATATATGTAGATTAATTTTTTTATTCAAACTGAATACTCAGTTAAAAATTTATAATTTTTCTTTAGCATGTCATTTTGTTCACTGTCCACTGGAGTGGTTTACATATTCCAACAATTGCTATTACATTAGTACTGAAAAAAAATCATGGAATGAGAGTTTGCTGGCCTGTGCTTCTAAGAACTCTAACCTGCTTTACATAGATAATGAAGAAGAAATGGTAAGATTTAAATGTTTCCTTTTTATTTAAAAGTCTATTTTAGTTTATATTTATAGAATTCATTCATACTTTGTATATATTCATAGTTCATTTCTTTTCAAAACTAGCATTCATTGTTTGACTCTAATATTTTGTTTATATTTTATACCACTAGTGCACATTTGATAATTTCCAATTCTTACTTTCTCATAGATAACCATGCTTCTATAAATGCTTTTTTTCTAAAGTAAACTCTGCTATTTAATTTTACTATACATCAAGGAAACTGAAGGTATCATGATTGTGCAGATTAATTACAAACTTAAATGACCCATGTAATTACATACAAATCATGATATAGAATTCGCCAGTCCACAGTAGTCCCTCTTCTTTGTGTCTCCTTTAACATTCACATGATCTTTTTGCAATCTCTCCATTTAATTGCATTTATCTGTAATTTGTTAATTTTCACTGCTGTATTGTAGGGTCATGACATTTTTAATCTGTTCTACCCAAAATATAGGTTTTTAAAAAAAATATATGGGTATTATGAATAATTATTTTATGAAAATTCTTGTGTCTGTTTTTTCTCAAGTATTATATTGTATTTAAAACAATTTATAAATACTAATAAAAAGGGTAATATGCTAATTTAACCAGCCATCTTCTAGACATCCTTCTGGACAAAACCACGGTGGTGGGGACCAAGGCAGAGGCAGTTAGGGGTGATCAGGCTGGCAGGGGAGAGCAGTTAAGAGTGATCTGGTTGACCAGGAAGGCAGGTGACAGCAGTTAGGGGTGACCAGTCTGGCAGTGGAGAGTAACTAGGGGCAATCAAGCAGGCAGGCAGGTGAGTGGTTAGGAGCCAGCAGTCCTGGATTGTGAGAGTCAGTCGGATATCCCTGAGGGTCCTGGATTGGAGAGGGTGCAGGCTGGGCTGAGGGACCCCACCACACGTGCAGGAATTTTTTGCACAAGGCCTCAAGTATTACATATATTAAATATAATACATTATATTCATATACTATAAATATTATATTTATAATAATTTAATGATGATGTATAAATCTATAATAATAAAAGCATAATATGCTAATTAGAAGAGCTGAACAACCTTCCGCATGTCCTTTTGACGACCTTCTGGATGAGGCTGGGACTGTGAGGGCTGAGGCAAGCTACCATGGCTGAGGGCCAAGCCCCTTGCACAAATTTCGTGCATCAGGCCTCTAGTGTAATTATATTATTACTAGAGGCCTGGTGCACAAAAATTTGTGCACTCGGAGGGGAGGGGGGGTCCCTCAGCCTGGCCTGTGCCCTCTCGCAGTCTGGGACCCCTCTTGAGATAATGACCTGCTGGCTTAAGCCTGCTCCCGGGTGGCAGAGGGCAGGCCCAATCCCTAGGTGCAGACCCTGGTCGGGCTCAGAGCAGGGCTGATTGGGGAGTTGGGGCGCCGCCCCCTGTCATGCACAGGGCAGGGCAGATTGGGAGGTTGCGATGCCACCCCTAGTCACGCTCAGGGTAGGTCCGATTGGGGGGTTGGGGCACCACCCCCTGTCACACTCAAGGCAGGGGCGATAGGGAGGTTGTGGTGCCACCCCTGTCACACACAGAGCAGGGCCCATCAGGGGGTTGAGGAGCTCCCCCCTGTCACTCACAGAGTAGGGCCAAAAGGGGAGTTGGGGCACCGCCCCCTGTCACACATAGAGCAGGGCGATCAGGGGGTTGGGGCACCGCCATTGTCACACTCAGGGCAGGGCCAATGGGGAGGTTATGGCTCTACCCCGTCACACACAGAACAGGGCCAACCAGGGTGTTGGGGCGCCGCACCCTGTCATGAACAGATCGGGGCAGATAGGGAGGTTGTGGCCCAGCCCCCTGTCATGCACAGAGCCACAGGGCAATCAGGGGGTTTGGGCGTTGCCCCCTGTCACGCTGATCCCGGTGCCGGGAGGCCTCGCGGCTCCGCTGATGCCAGTCCTGGGAGGCCTCGCTGCTCCGCTGATTCCGGTGCTGGGAGGCATATTACCTTTTTACTATATAGGATAGAGGCCTGGTGCATGGGTGGGGGCCAGCTGGTTTGCCCTGAAGGGTGTCCTGGATCAGGCTGGAGGTCCCCACTGGGGTCCCTGGCCAGCCTGGATGAGGGGTTGATGGCTGTTTGCAGCTGGTCACACCCCCCTCAGGGTGGAGGTCCCCACTCGGGTGCCTGGCCAGTCTTGTTGAGGGGCTGAGGGCCGTTTTCAGGCTGGCGGGTGACTGAAGCTCCCAACCTGTCCTTTTTTTCTTTTTTTAATTCTGGGCCAGGTTTAGCTCTGAGGCTTGGCTCCAGCTCTGAGGCCTTGGCTGCTGAAAGCAGGTATCTGGTTTGTTTGGGTTCTATAACTGTAACACTGTTGCGGTCCTGCTCACTCCAGCTCTGAGATCCCGGCTGGCTGAAAGCAGGGATCTGCGTTTGTTCTATAATTGAAACAATGTTGCGGTCCTGCTGGCTGAAGCCCAGCAGGCTGAAAGCAGGTTTCTGGGGTTTTGTTTAGCTTCTATATTTGAAACAATGTTTCTTAAACTGCAAGCTCAGGGGCTGGCAGCGGCAGGCGGGGAACTTTGGCTTCCTCCGTCACTGAAGCAAGCAAGCCTCCTGTTAGCTTCAAGCTGCCCGGCTGCCGGCCGCCATCTTGGTTGGCAGTTAATTTGCATATCTCCCTGATTAGCCAATGGGAAGGGTAGCAGAGGTACAGCTAATTACCATGTTTCTCTATTATTAGATAGGATAATGGTATATGCAGATAGCTAAATTTGATTGGCCTCTATGAATCAGAATGAAATTACAGAGTCATAAGTATATGTATATGCCAAATTTATTAGATTATCCCAACATTTTCTAGTTTATTATGTAAATAGACATTTTATCCAAAAAATTCCATGATCCAAGATTTAGTACTGTCAGAATGTTCAAAGGTATACATTCTGATCATTATATAAAAGTACCATTTTGACATAAGTAGGCATTTTTCTGATTACTAATGGATAGAACACTTCTTTCTGGGCTCTAGTTCTTATGGAATTACTAGAGGCCCAGTGCATGAAATTCGTGCACAGGGGGTTGGGGTCCTCAGCCATGCCTGTGCCCTTTCACACTCCGGGAGTCCTCAGGGGATGTCCGACTGAGACCACGAAGGTGGGCCACTGCGCTTGCCCCCTGGTGGTCAGTGTGTGTCATAGCGAACTGATCATTCTCTGGTTTGGTTAATTTGCATATTATCTTTTTATTAGATAGGATAAGTCTATTTCACAATAATTTCTTTTATATTTTATTTTTCAAAAAGCATTTGAGGTGGCCACTTTTTGAGATGCCTACCTGAAACTTTCTACTGGAACTAGAAGTTAAAGGTTGAAGGTAAAGGAAGCAAGATGGCTGCTAACGTGTCTTATTATCCTAGAGGCAGAAGGTTACAGCCTCATCATCCCATTGAATTGAATTCTTTTCTTGCGGACTCCTCTTCTTAAACTTCTCATTTCTTTCTTCTATTGTCTCTTTATCCTGGCTCATCCTTTTTAAAATTTCTCTTGCACCCATTCTCTCTCTCATTTTTAAAAAAAAGTATTTTCTTTTCTGCTCTCCTTTGAAAACTTCTTTTTCTTTATCCCTTTTCCCCAACTCTTGTTACTCTTCCCTCCCCTTCCCATTCTCCACCCTACTACAACCCATCCCTTCTTTTACCCTCTATTTACTGACCACGATTAATATTTTTCATTTCTTCTCTTTCCTTTTCTAACTCTCTACTTTTATTACTTACTGGTTTCTCCTTTTTCAAATCAGTTCTATCTACCTGTGCATGTGTCTATCTATCTATTCATCCACACACCTACTGAGCTATCTTTATTGTATTTTTTATTAACTTTTTAAAAATCTTATCCCCTTCACACACAATTGTATTTGACTTCGTTATTGGATTCTCCCTCTCATATAATATTTCCTCTCCCCTTTATGTAACACTTTTTCCTACGTACTCATCATTTATAAACTTTTCTTTGCTCCTTATTTCCTACCTCTGTTCCATCATCCTTTTTCCCATCTTCCTCCTACCCTCGCTCCCTCCCCACATTCCTTCTTCCCTTTACTTTTACCCCTGCCCTTCCTCTCCTTTTCCTTCCTTCGCGCCTTAATTCCTTTCTTCACTTCCTCCCTCAGACCTGCTTTGCTCCCTCCCCCATTTCTTCCTTCTTCCCATTCTCCTTTTAAGCTCTACTAGCTCCCCTTTAAAACTTTCATTCCCTCCCTCTTTCTCTCTCATCCTACCTTTCCCATACATTCTTCTCTACTTACTTTCACTTTT